CTGAGTTTTCCGTTTCACAAAGAGAGCTTACTCCAAAACATTTTTTCTGTCACCGTAGTAACATTCTCCCCAGAGCTTTTGTTAGTAAACTGTCCTCTGTCTCCGCTCTTGTTACAGCCAATCACGTAAATTTAATTCCTGATTTAGTCAGAGGATTTTTTTTTGTTGCTTGGAGCATTACAAAAAAAAAATAATAATAATAATAATAATTCACCAATGTTAGACATATTAGGTTTTAAAATCCAACATTACATGTTTGTTTAACCAGGATCTTATTAAAGAATTATTGGCATTATTTCACAGAGAATTACATATTTATAGGGAGAGGATTTTACGACTCAGTGACAGGATAGGAGAATAATTTGTTTTTAGTTTGTTTAATATGAACAACATGCGGATCATTTTATTTTTATTTCTTTATTTTTCCAGTACACAAAGAACTACTGAAATTATTTTCAGATTAAATATAAATTGATTCATTAATTCTGCCGGGGGAAAGGAATTACCTTAGGGTTAGGATTAGGATTAACTTGATGAGAACAATCTACTGAGCCTACTGGCATCATCTGAAGCCGTTCTATGAGACAGATAACCGCTTAAAACGGCCATTTATTGGGATGATAACATTGAAGCAGCTGCAATAAGTATTTACTGTGTAAAAGAAAACAGAATCAAACTGAAGAACCCCATGAGATGAGGAACAAGTTCTGTGTTATAGAACAACATTTTTAGACTTCATCCTCACCTGCTGCCAGATGATTTCACCTAAATAGATGCATTTATCCACTACAATTTAAGAAATAAACTCGTAACATTATCGTGGTCACAACAGGCTGTGGCCAGCCGTTTGATATGTATTATTTTTACTGAATATGTATTCCTGATATCTGAAAAAAAAATGTTTGTTGTCAAAATGACCATTTTAAACAAAATAACATGCTTCACATCTAGAATAAACAATCTGGATGTCTAGAAATCTATGTATTCCCATTGTTACTGCTCAGCATTTGTGTTATTTTGACTTTGAAGAAAAGTATCTTAGATATCATAAATATATTTTCAGTCAAGCTGATAAAGATTTTTTAGATATTTAAAAGTTTCTTTGTTTTCTTTATAAGAAAGTATGGCAACATTCATCCTTTGCATTTCACAGAAAAGTGTTTTAGCCACAAATGATTAATTTTTTTGTTTTTGTTTTTTGTTTATCTGTGCATCTCAAAACTCAGGATTAAGTTGCTTTCCCTCTTTTCTTTTGATTATTTTAAGTGTCATTACCTTTTCTCATTTGTTTAATACTTGGCTCGAATTTAGGTTGCAAAGGTAAACAATGTAAAGCGAACAGACTATGGCGGTTTAATTTGATAGATGGTTCTGATACAAAACAAATATTCTATTCTTTGCTTAGACTCTGAAGCTACTCTAGCATGTAAGCACTATGGGGAGTCCGGTTTATATTCTTTTAACTGTAAATTAAATGTTCATTTCCTCAATTTAAACGTAATTTTGTTCCACTTGTCTAATTATTGCAAGGCAAGGCAGGCTTATTTTTATAGCTCAGTGGCAGGAAAAGTGCTGTACATGAAAAAGGCAATTTAGATTGCAGTGGCAGAGACAACACAAACTTTTAAAGAGAATAAAGTGACACATTGAAATTAGTGGATTATATGTTAAAAAAGATACTAAATGATGAAGGAAATGGAACAAAAGTTAGACTGAATACTTAACTAATGATAGATAGATAGATAGATAGATAGATAGATAGATAGATAGATAGATAGATAGATAGATAGATAGATAGATAGATAGATAGATAGATAGATAGGTAATGCGTTTATTTATAACATTTTTTTTCATGTGTACATTACTTGTGCCAATAAATATGACTGGCAAACCCCCTATGGTGAAAAATGTTATGACCCCCCCCTTGTAGTGACCCTTACGTTGAAGATCTGTGATTTAAACTTTAAAAAAGAAGCATATGAGGTGACCCACCAGCGTTCCCACAAGTTTCCCTGTGGCCCCCATTAGAGGTCCCGGCTGCTGCAGGCCAGGGAGGATGTTTTTGATGAAGCAGAGAGCTTAATTTAGTCCAAGGCATTCTCAGTATCTTTCACCTAACCCTGGAGGTGTCAGTGTGTACGTGTGCGCGGGGGTCCGTGTTTATCCACAGCGGACAAATATAAATTCAAGAAATGCACACCAGCATCGGCCCATCCTGAAAAGACAACGATCAGAAATCTTTAGACAATAAGGAGCTTGTTCTCCTAATCGCTGCTGCTTATGTGTGACATGCCATTGTGATCTTGTGAGTTTTTCCTTGATGTGCAGTTTTTAAATAGATTGTTAATGCTGGAGTATCAGAAAATAATCCAGCTAAAGCTTGAAAAAACACCCACAGTTCTGATTTGTTCTGGCTCGGCTCAGGTTCCTGCTTGGCCAGTAAATAACCAAATAAGCGAAGGCATTGCCAGCAAACCAACTAAAGCGAAAAACAAACCTGCGCCAACAGCTTCTGCCAAACAGTTCTGTACCCAGAGCTTGTTCTCTTACGGGTTCATACAGAAATGCTCTGCCATGCTCCATGAGTTACACCATTATTCTGTCTGCAGGAAACACGGATTCGCTCAGAACAGTGAAGAGGGATCAGAGCCATGAGGCAGCCTCATATGATCCTTTGTCTTCCAGGTTTCTCTCTATACTCTTAAGTGTGATAGCGTGTGGTTTTTCCTGCAGCCTTTAATTGGATCTTATGATCCTCTGACCTCGTCATTTGCATGCAACATTTAAAGAACGTGTTCTGACTCGTCAGAGTTCTGCAGGGAGAGCAGAGCTGTGTGGTTTTACGGCGTCCGCAGCAAGCTGAAAGAAAGGAGGACCACACAGTCGCACGGTCGGATCGGATTTGCTGAGGCCTTTATTTATAATCTGGGTCAGAGTCCAGGCCGTAACCTTGCTCTTACTCACCCTCCTTTGCACCTCATTTTATCTTTATCTAGGCCCTCTTCCTGTAGCTCCTCTCACTCTTTCTGCCTTTGTCGAGTCCATTCAACCCTTTAGTTGTTACATCCTTTTTCTTTGAGGTCTTTTTAATCACAAGTCTTATTCTTCTGTTGCTAAATTCAGTAATTCATATTAAGATGAATTATTCCAGATTGATAAATGTCACAATAAACTTAATTAGTTTCAATTACCAGTGTTTTAGAGCAAGACAAGAAATAACACAGCTCTCAGTCAGAAGTTTACATACATCAGGCACAATAAGGTCATATTGGGGTTTGGGCTTAAAAAAAAGGTTACTGAACCCTTCTTGTTTAAGAATGGAACAATAACCAGAATTTCAAACACAATTTTGTTGATTTTTCTTTCTTTTCTCAATCCTTATATTATCAGAATTATACACAGATGTTAAAATAGAGATCCCCCATAATATTTTTTCACATTCAAATGATCCACGAACAAAGTTCTGGGGTTTTTCTCTCTACTTGAAAACATTTTACAGAATTTGTTAAGTTTACATAAAAAAAATAAAAAAAAATCTGCTTATGGCACAGACAGGACTGCCGTTTGTCATTCCACCCAATCGAGAAGTGTGTTTCTGATTAGAAGGGAAACAGGCATCTCACAAATGACACAATAAAACACTTTACAAATTACTCAGAAAAATCAGGTTTACATTTCAATAAAAATATTGAACGCGTGGATTTCATTAAATCCTTTTCAACAAGAAAAAGCTTTTTGATATAACAGCAATGATTTTCAAATTAGCCAAACATTTTTTTGCATACCTCCACTGGTACTTTTTTTTTTTTTTTTTTTGCAATGAGGTCCAAGTCTTTAAGATTGGGAGACCTTGTAGCCATGAATGCATCACAGAGTTTAAAAGCACTATCTCTGAAAACACAACATGTTAAGCCGGATTCCCCTACGGTCGGTTCAGAAGGGGGGAGTTTACACAGCCTCACCAGAATTGGACTAGAACAGATTAGAAAAAAAAATCCCTGGCTAGATAACTTGATTCCAGGTTTGTTGCTCGGAGAGTTGGGCAGAACCTGGTAAAAACCTGGAACCATTGAAATCCTTCTTGTGGGTTTCCTGATAAATCCAGAAGTGAAGATAACTTTTCAGTTACCACAAAATGCCAAATCTCTAACTGTCTGTTGTCTAAATTTTGCCTCATATTCTTGCTTTAAAGGGTTTCCAAAAAAAGGACAACTACTTTATAAAAAGAAGATAAAAGTGCTGCTGAGGATGAGTACTGTACAATGGGCCTGTGAATGGAGGGACCCCTTTTATGAGCAACTATGAAGCGAGCGAGAGAGAGAGAGATGTCTTTGGCTGTGTTCTAAAAACTGCTCTCCAATATCCAGTGAAATAAGCCTGATATATGAGATAGACATGTTTGCGCATGCTTCGCTTTGCCAGCAGATGTTTTTATCTCATGAGCTGATAGATGCAGCTCAGGCATCATGTGCGTTTTATTTTAATTTTTTTTTCTGGGTCTTGTAACTGTGCAAAGCTGATGGGTTTTGCTGTAAAGTCAGCCTCAACAGTTGGTCTGGCACGGTCACGGCTCTGCTGAGAACACATGACAGGACCACAAACTTCTGGTTTTGTGCAAAAAAAACTGTGGGGTGTAATTTGCAAATGCATTTATAGTGTGGAGTTCTTATAAGATGCTGTGTTCAATGTGACAGGAGGAGCATGTGAATCTCTGATCTTTTCATCAGGACACTTTATGCTTTGAATGCCTTAATTCAACTCGTTGCTGTTGGATCGAAAGAGAAAAAGAAGCTGGAAGCAGATTTTGTTTTTAGGATCAAATTGGTGCCACACTGCTGCATGCTCCCCTGGGCCTTCAGCAACCATAACATTACTCCCATTAATCATATGGGGTAAATGTCCATACCTTAATTCCCCAGGCTGGCCCTGACTCTCTTATGGCTCTGACACGGCTGCTAACAGTAAGACTTGATGACATTGTCTTGTTTTTCATGCTGGAGGCCTCAGTGGGTGGTGTTTTTGTGAGTGCTTCCTCGGTTTGAGGCGGAATAAACCGGCAACCAAGGGAGAAGCTGAACCAAGCTCCAGAGCTGCTACAGAGCCCTGCTGAGACCTGCCAGGTCCACCGCTCTCTCTGCCAGAGGCCTCAGCTCCCAGTCAGAGTGAGTCACAACCCATACTCCTGACACCAACACACATTAGTATTAAACGACACACCCACAGCATGTAGGCATGCAGGTGCAAGCACATGTGGGAAACAATGGATTAATGTGTGGATCCAAAAAATTCATTACAAACATTGAAAGATACACTTTCTTTGAAATGCAGAGCATTTCAGCGTGTTATACTCAGGTCGTATGCAGCGAAGCAAAGTAGTTCATGATGTCGAGCTGAAGGAAAATTAAGAGTTTTTTTCTTCACAAAAATGAAATCTGAAACATGTGCCATCCATATGCTTTTATCTAAAACAGTCTAGAAATATAAAAACTGTTTCTCATTTCTCTTACATTACAGCAGCGACGGAATACAGATTTTGTTGGGAATTCATTTAATAAAGGAAAACTGTGTATTTTATTATTGAACTTTATTGATCTCACTCTGGAGAAATTAATCTCGGAACACCCATACCCTTTGGGGAGCAGTGGGCTGCCATTGTGGGGGACCCGTGGAGCAGTGTGGGGTTAAGGGTCTTGCTCATTGCAGGGTGAAGGGATCAAACTGGGTACTTGCAACCTTCTCAGAGCACAAGTGCACTGCTTTAACCACTAGGCCAACACTCCCCTTCCTAGTTTACTAAATAATTTATGAAAGTGGAAAACAAAATGATACATGCCTTTGAAAAGTTTTCACAAATACAAATCATAAAAGTGTGACATGCTTTTTTACTCAGCCTCCCTCGCTCAGGCATCCCTAAGTACCTTGAGAGGCCAAATGATAGTATACTACTTATTAGTATACTAATGGTGTACTAATCTTTACCAGGCAGGGTGGGTGAGAAAATCATTGATTAGCAATGTAGAAAAGAGGTATATTGAAATCAATTAAGTTTATTTATATAGAGCTATTTCACAATGCATGTCATCTCAACATGGTTGAACTGTAAAGTGCCTTGAGATGACATGTGTTGTGAATTTGGCGCTATATAAATAAACTGAATTGAATTGAATTGAACATGCATGACAATACTGACTAGATGCAATCAAATGATTTTCTGATTTGTTAGAAAACCATTTGATTGCATCTAGTCAAAGACTTGCAAAACATGCTCCTCCTGGATGAGCCTGCGGCGATGATATTTGCTTGCTCTTTGTCATTGATTATACTGCAATCCCTCACACCAAGCATGAGTCCTTCAACAGGCGCTCCATCCAGGGGTGGTAGTTTGAGATGAAGGCCTGGATCCGCTGGAACGACCTGCCTGGAAAAACTGGTGGGAGTGTTTGTGACCAAATGTCCTAAAGGGTGCATATGCTGAGGGTGAGTATCTATATGTATATATCTGTAGTTGAGAGCAGGCTGTTCTTGTTCATTAGGTGAATTATTGTCAAAAGACATAATCACAAAGCAAATAGTTTAACGGGCAGCTTTCTGATATTTTATAATATAATAAAGTAATAATGTGCTATATGGTAAATATACTGATGAAGACCATGGATCTAATACTACGTTCAGACCACACGCAGCAGAAGCAGCAAAAATGTGTATGCTGCTTCATTTTTGATGCTTGTACAAGTTTAGTTCTGATGCACGGCTGAAGCATCTTTGCTGCTCTGGCTGCACGGTCGAAAATTGGGTCTGATGCGCGTTGGGCAGAACTACCCTATCCCTTCTTTGCCTGTAACAAGTATCGTGGCTTATTTTAATGAATAATGTTGCATTCAGACTGGAAGCAGTAAAAAAGCTTCTGATGCCTCATTTTAGATGCACATTAAGGTCAGAAGTCCAGTAAAGTGTGTCCTGATGCGTCCGATGCTGCTGCAGCTTTGCTGGGCCGGTCGCCTCTTGGTTACATTCAGACTGCTTCCAGTCTGAATGTAACATTATTCATTAAAATGTCCGCTACTTTTCAATGCAGCTGGAAGGCGTTTTTCATGTACATAATCAAAAAACTGCAGGCAGCAGAATATTAAAATCAAACTATTTTTGCCGGCAGGTTTCGACATTTTAAGTTAATTTAGGCGTTAATAAACAGTTTCAGAGGAGTGATAATAGAGATCTGGACTAGCAGAGCTGTGTCTGTCTCCCTGTCAGCTTCCAGATCAGCTTGTCTGATTGGCTGATCTGGTGCGACGAGCAGTAAAAGTTAAATTTTTCCAGCTGCTGCATTTGCAGCGCGTTCCGCGCGTCAGATGCTGGGAAACTCAGAAGCTTGACGTGCGTCAACCATCGACTTTGAATGTAAACTAGCTGCTTCTGCAGCGCATTGTCTTGAACGTCACATAAGGCTTTATTCTGCTTTTTGACTAATTGCACATGCAGAAAAGTTTACTGTAAAGTTCTGTTTTCGTGTTTTTTAATGATTAATACATAAAATAATTTTAGATAAACAATCTCATGCACATGTAAATCCACTTACTTTGTAGGAAAATCAACAGTTACTAAACCCCAAACACATTTAGTCAACAAAAGTTAAAATAAAATACTTTGCAGGATGCATTTAGATGCTTTTTGTAATCATTTTGAACTGTAGTTTCAGAATACACTGAGCAGGCGTATGTAGACTTTTGACAGCCTTTATATTTTTGAGATCCTTAAAAGTAAAAAGTTGTTGACTTTTTCACTGGCCAAGTTGAAAAGTGAAATACTTGGCAGAAGGAATTGGTAATGGATTGAAGGGGAAGATTCAAATGATTCACAAACTGTGAGAACGCTGCAGCTATTTAGCTCTGAGCCACAAAGTTTAGCTGCTGTTTTAAAACATTCTATTGGAAGTCTGGACATTCTTTGATTAGAGTCAATCTATATCATGAAGAACCAAATGAAGCATAAAAACTCTAGAATGAATAATCTAACACTCTTTCCAAATAGTTTTTAATACTGTTTTTGTTTTGTGAATCTTAAGGCTGTTTGTAAAAACATATAACCTCATCTGACTTCAATTAACTGGATGATATTATTACCTCTACTTAAGTTCTAAAGTTATGAATAAGAAGTTTTTCTTTGCTCACAATTATTTAGTGTGTCACAAATATTTTCTAATAATTTTTTATAAGCTTTACAGCAATATTTCAGCTTGTTTTCCCTGATGTTTTATCTTTAGTGATAAGCTCCACGTTATTGAGGTCAGAAGCTCCCTTCCTACAAATCAGATCTGAGTCAGAACTCTTGACGGTTACATCCAGCTAGAAGCAACATTTTGGTGAGATTAAACTTTAATCTTAAACCTAAATCTGACAGATGTACTGTATGAATATGTTTGGGGTCTAACTTGAGTACATGTGATTCTCTTTGGGTTTGTGTTGTTGTTTTTTTTACATTTCAGACCCCTAAATATACACTAATGAACAGTAAAACAAGCAGAATTAACTCCAAACTCTTCAGTAGATTAAGAACAACCAATCTAACCATTAAATAAGTTTTATGACAGTATTTCTGAAATTGCTTTTACCATCCCTTCCATTGCTTTTGTTGCTAATATATTTGGATGTATGCATGAGTAGCCATAGGGTCTTTGGAATGTTGATGTGGTCCAAAGTTTAATAGAATGGAGCGTGGGTGTGGAAAGGAGTTCTCTGGAGAGCAGCTTGGGTCTTAAAGTACTGAAAAGGCTTGACCTGGACCGCGTTCACCCACTCACTGGGACATAGCAACGTCCTCTCCGGTCCAGAACAGGCTTTCATGGTTTGGCTGTGCAGCAAAGAAATATCCACGACCATATGCTGGGAGGCATTAACAGAAGAAGAGGGAAGGAAAAAAATTAAAAAGGCTCAGAAAGAAGCTCAAAAACACACATAAGTCACAGAACACATCCCTGTTGTCCTGCGTTGCTCATCATGTAATGAGTAGCACATGACTTGAATCGGGTGTGGTGCGTGATCTCTTATCGGACAAAAGGGTCCCACAGAGGGAGACGGAGCCTCTCCGCCTGTCCTGTTTGTCGGCAGTCATGAGGTCTCCATTCCATTTGCCACGCTGTGTCTCGTGGTTAAAAGTGCATGAAATGCTTGAGTTAAAAACAAAATCCCCCTGCCTTTATAAACATTCAGCTGTGGCGGAATGTTGTCAATAAATCAGATGCTTAGTTGGAGAAAAGCAGCGCTACATCTGTGCGGGTGACGGGTGTGGGTGGGTAGGGGGTGTACAGACCTGAAATGTCAAACCTAAAGGGTGTAACGTGCTACAGTGGGTTTTTTTATTAACATGTTTTACTCGCCCTTTCAAGAACCGAGCATATTTACGTCAACGACATAATCTAGATTCTGTTTCCATTCATTAAGGCACCATTTTCCATTTGGTTCTGACGAAATCACTTTAACTGTCATAACATGTCAGCAGATGTCAGCATTTATTGGTACCCCTGCTGTTAATGCTCTATACATCACCTTTTCTCAATAGGGCAGCACTTGGCGAGAACATTTGACATGGTTGGTTCAAACATAGAAAGGACGCTTTTTTCTTATTTTTCTTATTGTACAATCTGTCAAGATCATCCAGAGTCCTAGGTCATCCATTATAATGCCTGGGTGCTTTGGTGGTAATGAAAGAATGTTGATTTGATGTCTGGTTAAGCACTTTTGTCTTTATTTGGCCACATGTTAAAGATCTTTTTCCTAAAAGACCCAGTGATGAGTCATTTTCAGTTTTCTGGCAGCTTCCGTTTCATGATACCAACCTCGCTAACCAGGATCCCAGGCCATTTGGATGAGGAACAGCCCAAAGCATCACATTACTGCCTCTATATTTAATGCTAGACTTTACTTTGACAAAGTTGATATTTTACTCAAAAATCTCTGTGTATGAAATGAATGTTTTGCTGAATATAAATTACACATTCTCACTGAAGGAATTTTAAATCATAAATTAAAAGATTCTTCCTTTTGAATACTGGTAAAAAAAAATGTTGGGAAAATCCTGTCTTTTATACTGTTTACCATTTGGCTTGCTTTAAATGTCTCAATAGTTGTTGGGAAAGTTAATTTTCTTTGAACTTAAAATCTTCAACATCCTTCTTTCATACTTTAATGCCATGCTTACTGGTCTTTACGCATTTGACAAGAGGCATTTATGTCCCCTAATATTCTGAGGTTTAGAGAAAGTCAGAATACATTTTCTATGATAAATGCTTGTGAAAATTGTTGGTGCAACTAACTGTTAAAGAAAATAATTATTTATTCATGTGGGATTTTTTTTCCCTACTGAATAAAAGTTTTAAAATTGATTTTTTTTTTTTATAGCCAATATTTATTTTCAAGGGAAGTTTGTACATCTGTACCATGGCAATAAACAGGAAAATGTGTTGCATGTGAGTCAGAGCTCATCTTCTACTTGATTATGTTGCAGATTCAGTGACAATACTGTGTTTCATTTGCATGTAGAGGAGATTCTCTGGGAAATAAAGCAAAAACATCTTACACCCAGAAGAAGCAGCTTATCCAACTTCATTAACTCAAACCAAGCAGAAATATATGAGAAGATATGACTGTGTATGTGTCTGTGTAATCCTTTCACAGGGAGGCACCACCAGAAGCAGCCGGCCACAGTCCACTGGGGAGCTTTAAATTAATTTAATGTATGCTAAAGCAAGTTATCTGGGGCTCCTTCTGAAGAGCTGTGCAAAGGGCCGGTTTTCTGAATGCTGATGACTACCAAAAAAAACAAGGGGAGAACTTAGAAACTGCGGGCCTGTGGGGTGATGACCATACCTATTTGGTGAGCTCATAAAGCCAAAGATATAATGATAAATGTTTTGTAGAATAAAATGCAGATGTAGTCTGATTTTGTTTGTTTCTGCTTTTAGACCAAAGTGCTTAATAAATATCTTTTTTTTTTAAAGTCAAACTTATGGTGCATTCTTTTTTCAGAATAACATTACTGTTTACCATTTTCAGTTTCCCCTAACATGTCTTTAAAAAAATCTGAGGAGTTGGTGACAGTTATGTAACATTCCTTCTTTTAAATAGTTTTTTAATAAGATGTCAGACAGAATTCAGATCCATATGCAGGAACATAACCAGACCAAAAACCATATTTGATATAGGGGTTATTTTCTGCAGCTAAAAGCTGCACCAAGACATTGGCATGAGGCCAGACTAAGTATTTATTCAGCACCATATAGGCCTTGTTCAATCAGAAGGTTGTTGGGTACTCTTTTTTTTTTTTCCTGATCAGCAAATGTTTCATTTGCAAGGAATACTAGACTGCACAAACACCTTTCAGTGTAGAAGTTGTTTCAGAGGGAAGAAGCATTTCATTAATATCCCAATTTTAATGAATAGTCTTAAATGGGATGGACTATGTGTCACCCTTTGCAGTTAAAACAAATTTTCTGGGAAGGCTTTCCATAAGTTTTAGGATGGGTCCATGTGAGGGCCTTGTGAGGTCAGAAACTAATGTTGGACGTAAAAGTCAAACTCTAGACTAATTCATCCCCAAAGATGCCTTTTAAGTTAGTCAAATCCATTTCATCCCATGTATTACTGTAAGGACCCTGCTTTTTTGCACTGCTGATCAGTCATACTGGAGTTAAAGTCGTCCACAGCTGTTCCCAGAGAGCTACGAGTGAACATTGTGTAAAATCCAGGTATGCTAAAGCAGTGGTCCCCAACCTTTTTTGCACCACGGACCGCTATGTGTCAGACAATATTTTCACGGACCGGCCGAGCGGGTGGGAGGGTTGGCAGTCGGCGGAAGTAAAATGATACGACTGGCATAAAATCAAATACAAACTGCATAAAAATAAAACAACAAGCCGGTCCCATCTAGGCGTAATCGGAGACAATGACACACGAAGTGTGCTCCTGATGTCCAGTCTGCTCCGTAGCTTTGTTTTGGTCGCTGTAACCGCAGAAAATCCCGCTTCACAAAGATAGGATGTTATAGATACGATGTGTCTTGACCTGAATTAACCCTTGTCAAGAGGCACAGATGCACCGACTGATGTAATTGGGAGAGAATACCGCAATTTTTTATATTTTTCAAAATAAAACATCACTCAGATTCTGATCGTCGATAAATTATATATATATATATATATATATATACTTTTTTCTGTGCGGCCCGGTACCAATTGACCGACGGACCGGTACAGGTCCGCGGCCCAGTGGTTGGGGACCGCTGTGCTAAAGTATTAAGATTTTCATCGGCCAGCATTAAGAAACTGACCTTACCTATTTATGATGGCTCAAGTCAATAACCCTCTTTTAATGAAACTTAGCACCAAGCTACCCATTTGCTCACAAATGTTTGTAGAAGCAGCATTCAGGGTTTTGGATTTTATACACTTCATGGAAGCTGTTGAAACACTAGAATATGAAAATTTAGACATCTATACAACACCTTTATAGAGTCTATTTTGATCATAATATTTAAGGTGCAAGAAAGAGCAAAACTTTCAGCAGATAACCAAGGTAAACAGATAACAGATAATTGGGATGCTATATAAGAATATATCCAAAGCTCTCTATATATCTTATGTTCATTACAGGAAATTAGAATTTGCCATCTTCTGTCTCAGCAGAATAAGCATTACAAATATCGGCCAAAAAAATTATGATTGATAACCTCTTTAACAAAGTAATTTAACACTGTGTGTCGGAAATACCAACATACATTTAAAGTCTGTTAAAATGTTGGAAAAATCAGGAATAGTTGTACCCCAATAAATATTTTCATACATAACTAAATCAGATGTGTTAAATTTCCAGTGTTGGTGTTGTATGTTGAAACTATGAGATTAATTTAACAGACGTTTAGTCTAATTCATTTATGTGACTGTTAGGTCTCCAAAGAGTTTGTGTTAATCATCAGAGTTTATTTCAGTCAAATGTTAAGTGGTGATTTTAAAATAAACAGTTAGCACCCAGAATGCTAACATAGCTGATAACTCCTATATCCGCTACACATACGCTGCAACAACGCCATCAGACTTTGTAGTTATTGTGTAGGGGCAAATGTTTTTCTTGCAACTGAAGGGTCGGCGGTTTGAATCCCAACTCAGTCATTGTGACCTCAGGCAAGACACCTCATTTGAATTGGCCAAGTGTTAATAGTGTTCGGATGGCCTGACAGCGCCTGTTTACAGCAGCCTTACATCTCTCAGTGATGCTGACAGGAGAAGAATGAGTCAGCATGCTCCAGGGCAACTATGGCTGCAATAAATCACACAACATGAGATTAATTACCACTTATTCTGATGATACTCAGCTATATTTGTCTATTAATCTTTATGGACAGTGACACTAGTATGTGTTGAACTTATGACACTATTTATATTCAATTCGGTTTATTTCACATGTAATCTTAAGGCACTTTACAGAGACAATTCAACCGGATCAAACAGACCAATTTGATCAAAATTTTTAAATCTAAGGAAAACCAGCTGATTGCATCGACTCATTGACTCGACAGCCATCCCTCACACTAAGCATGCATGCAGCGACACTGGAGTGGAAAACTCCATTTTAACAGGAAGAGACCAGCAGCAGTGTGAGCGGCTTCCTACTGAGGACAGCTGGGGTTCAAAGAGACAGAAGCAGACATAGAAAAAGAAGCAAAGATAAAAGGTAACTCTCAACCAGCTCCACAGGTTGCCCTGTGTTGGAAAGACACAGCCAAGCAGACGAGCTCCGAGCCATCTCCCATGTCAGAGGATGAAAGAGAGCACGCACAGTTAGTCACAGTAAGAGAAACAGGACTACACTGAAAAAGAGCCTGCACTCTAACATCTATAAACAAATGTTTTTTGGGAAGCAGAACAGCTGATATTTATTTCCAGGATGGGGTCAGAGAAAGCATAAAATTAGAGGTTGGAGGAGTAGCAGCCTTGTGGTTGGGGCATAGAGCTTGGAATGCTGAGGTTCTGAGTTCGAGCCCCACTCCCACAGACTCTGAGCAAGACGCTCAATCCTGATTGCTCCCCGGGCGCTGCACAATGGCAGCTTACTGCTCCCCAAGAGGATGGGTTAAATGCAGTGGTAATTTTCTCCAATGTGAGATCAATAAAGTTAATCCTTTTTTTTAAATTATTATTATTATTCAATTCTTTATTATTATTACTATTATTATTTAACCAACAAATACTGCACAATGGGAGAATAGAGACCGATTGAAGTGATGAAAAGTGATCCCTATGTCCTCTAGCAGTCTAAGCCTATAGCAGCATAACTATATAGTTTAGGAAGTTTTTAATATATACTATTAAGAATTTTTTTAGCACATCTCTCACATTATTAATTGTTTAACACAAAGGTGTTATTTGAACTCAGTCTAGTGTAGCTCAAAATAGACTTTCTAGGGGTTGAATTAACATTTGCATATTTGTCATATTTCAATTTATCTACAATTGTTTATCTGGAAACGATGGCCAAAGCCTAGTTTAAAATAAAGCCTTTTTTTCCACAGGACAGGCTTTCAAAAAATATAATCAGGAAAAATAAAAAAGTAGACAAAATTATTAGGTCTTTTAAGTCCAGTAGCTGCAGTTAAAACGCTGAGTTCACAGTAAAACCTATTCACACACAAAGAGAATAACGTCCAACAAGGACGCTTCTGCAGTTCTTGAAAATACACCACAGGTTATCAGCCTTCAACTGCTATGTAAATTTGCCTAGTTAGGCCTCCATTCTCTATGCAAAGTGTCAACCAAAGAGACAAGTCTCTGAACTCAGTGGGGAAATGGAGAAGTGCAAAGCATTTAACTAACCTTGTTCAGATACGAATGACTCACAGACAAGCGCAGCGATAATGAGTCAGACATTCCATGCATTTAAAATGCACTGATCTCACACACAAATGGCTGATATGCTGGGGTATGTAACCTGCTGCTGTTTGCCAGGGAACCACTTTCACTCGTCAGCTTTTCTGTCTGAGAGAGAGAAATGACACGTATAAGCCAGTGCAGTTATTTCGAAGTAGTCCAGTTTAAACTCAGCAATTCGCCGTACAGTATCTGGTTTGTGTTGATTCCAACATTCGTCATGTGTGAAGAATCTGTGGTGTGTTTTTGTCTGACTCTTCAAAGCTCAAAATGCCAAACCACAAAAATCCTTTAAATCCTCTCGACCAAATTATTAACTGTTCTAAACAAAGCGAGGTATAAACTGTTTGGAAAGGTTGAGTATCATAAAAGTCAAGCTGACACGATGCAGTGGCTTGGTGGGGAGGTTATTATGACTCTGCAGCATTGAAGGGACTTGTTTGAGGACTGTTTAATATTCATTTTTGTTAATATTTTTGTTATGCCTTCTGCAAAAACACTTTGCACAACTATAGAATGTAGTAGAAAGGAGTCATATTTGTTGACCCTTTTGCATTTTTTAAATTACTGTAAACTTTTTAGTACAGCTGCAACTTATGTTATACCAGTACCAGTCTTGCAGGTCTAGCAGTATAATATTTTACATGTTTTCTATCCAATAATTTCACAGTTATGTTCTACTTTACGTTTGTCCAACCAAAATAAATAAAAACAAATAAATATAAATTTGTGATTGTTATGAGACATTATGGAAAGGTTCAAGGACTAAAGTTAATTTTGTAAGGTACTGTAAGGACCTGCTTGACAAATTCCAAACAGAAAAGGAGGAAATTTTTATATTCTCACTGTCTGTCTTCAACTCATCCTATTTTTGAAAGCACTTGAAAGGCAATTAAGCTAGCTCCACCCAAAGCAATGTCTTTTCATAACAACGTGAGCCCTGCCCCAGAGCAGCTTTCCTGACATGTGCCTTATCGAGGACCTGCATAAGGAGGCTTGATAGGACCGCCTGTAATCCACACCCCCAGAGCTGCCCTGGAGGAACTGCTCAGAGTCCAGTGGAAGCAGCAGACTCTGCA